GCCCCATATGTTAAGTTTTATATTTTAAAACAAAAAATGGGTTTTATTGAGGGTTATGAAATTTAAGGATTTCTATTTATGTTTGGGGTATGATGAACTTTAAGAAGTGTTTTTAGACTCCCAATAGCCTCATAAATAAGTTAGTAATGTCATTTCTTTATGTGTTAGTGAAAGAAATTAGAGAAGGGTCTAAAGCAAGGGGACAAAAAAGTTGACCCTTGGGTGATCTTAGGGAGTTTTCTCAGCTAAATCATTAAGGTAACACTGTTCTAACCTTCCTATACCATTTGTAAGCCTTACCATGCATTTATGTAACTTGCATTAGCTTTGAAGGTTTAAGAATATATTCATAGAAAATCTCAAGTTTATGTGTTGTTAAGTAATATGATATTTTCTTATGACCATAAACAACTTAAATAAGATACTAACAATGTATGAGGAGCTTCATAGGGCCTTAGAATGAGTTAGGACGGTTTGAAACTGCCCAAATAGGACATTTTCAGGTGTCATTATCCATACTGGATGACTGAGTATTGATATTGTTCATAAGTGTGGTTAAAATCTAAAGAACATAAAGTAGAAATATCGATACTCATGCATAGAGTATCGATACTCTAGGCTTGTCTCGATACCTGAGGAAAAGGTCTCGATACCAAAATTATATAGTACCATTTTGGTACCAATACTCATGGGAGTACCGATACTACTTGTTTTCTCAAGCTCTATTTTAAGATGTTGGTATTGATACTTCAATAGGGGTATTGATACTTCAATAGGGGTATCGATACTACTGTGTCCATATTGATACTGATAAGACAATATCGATACTACTTCATGAGAAAAGATAAGAAACTTTGGGAATTTTAGAAATAGGGTTTAGGGACCCAAACCACTCTTTAATCCTTTAGTAAGACATCAAGTGAGAACAGTAAAAATAAGTTAAATTTCACCTAGAAACCCTATAACTTAGGGAATTATAAGACTTACCTTGTGTGACGTTCAAGAAATCAGACGGATACCCAAATCACTCTAGAATAAGAAACATTTGTATGCTAAGATATGGCCAACCTTAAGATTATGTACTAGGTATATATTTTTCTAATTGGGCGTAGTTTCCCTAAGGCTTGGAGGAACAATTTAGCGGGTGATGCAATCCGATGTGAGCTTCCGACGCACGTAAATGTCGACCTCACCCTGACCTCTCGAGGATCTGAGGTAGACTAAGGACCATAAGTTCTTATAAACTTAAATTATGGTTTTTACCCCGAAGCTATCCCGTTTTAGACGAGCTAGTGTGTTTTTCGAGATGCACGTAAATTCCTCCGACCGCACCGCTTCGCTTATCTCATGTTTGATATGTACTTTTGCATGTTCATGACTTTGCATTCCGACATGTTCGTGTAATGAATGCATGTAGTATTGTATAGTTATATTCGTGGCACTGAGCTTGTGAGCTCAACGTATGGAATGTGTTTCCTTGTGCAAGTTAGTAGAGGATCATTGAGGGAGCCTATTGCATTCGACCATTCCAGACCGAACGATTTGTAGAGTATGTCTTGAGTATTTGTAGAGGGCATGTATTCTATATGGACCTTGTATATTCGAGTCATAACTTTATTTGATTTTAAACTCTATGGTTGTATTGTATGTGAAGACACTAAATTTTTATCCCGTTTTATTATTTTTATTATTATAATAATAATAATAATAATTTATTAATATTATTATATTTACAGGCCAAAAATAAAAAAACAACCCAACCCAATTACAAATCCCAGAGGCCCAACAGTAAGAAACCCTAAACCCAACAAGGGTTTCATCACCTCAACAGCCAGCCGCCTCAATCTCAACCGTTGGATCTGGTAAGATCCAACGATCTAGAAGCCTCCAGAGGAAACCCTAGAGTATCATCAGCCTAGGGCCACGTCGCCGCTTCCCTTGCTGCCACTACCCCCGCCGCCTCAGGAAGCTACTACCATCGCTTCAACAGAACGCTCCAGAAGATCCAGCTGCCCCTCTACGCTACAACTCTATGGTGAGCCACCACCATAGTCTGGTGACTCACCAAAGAGCCCCTTTTTGACTGGTTCGAGGCCATCACCATGGTGGCTATAAAGCCACCAAACCTGCAAAAGAGAAAGAGAAGAGAGCACCCGAGAGATACCGAACAGACAACAACTACAGAGAGCAAAAAAAAAACCCGCAACAGAAACATAAACCAAAAGAAGAGAAGCACTTACCAAGAGGAGCGCGACCATCGGAACCTCCATGCACAACAAAAAATAACCGAAATACTGAGATTATTTCTGTAGATCTAGGTAATTACAAAGCTTTTTAGAGAAAAAGGACAACGGATTCATCTTTAGGACGTTCTGATCTTTATTTTGGAGGATTTTGAAATTTTTCGACCACCGATAGCGATGACCGGCAGTGGTTACCGACGCTGGAGCACGGCTGCCGGCCGGTGGTCTCTCTCTCAGTTTTAGAGAGAGGCGAGAGAGTTAAAAAAAACTCTCTCAGTTTAGAGAGAGAAGAAGAAAGAACAAATGAGAAAATGGCCCTTAGGGCCGGCTATAGAAGGGTTTAAATACCCTCACCAAAATGACGTAGTTTTGGTGAGGGCCTTTGTGTAATTTCACGCACGGTTAAACTATTTCCGTAGCCACTGTAACTTTAAAAACTTGTAATTTAATCATTATAGTATGTTTTTATTTATTATAATTTGGTTTTCCCGTTTTAATTTATACTAATTTAGTCCTTTATAGTAAATATATATATATTAGGCAAATATCCGATTTAGCCCTCATAATTTTATTAATAAATATTTTAAACCCCGAATTGCATGTTTTAATTTGATGTGCTAATTTAATATAATTTTATTTTAGTCACCAAATTAATAAATGGGTAAAATAACATGTTTAATCCCCATAATTATAAATAAATAATTATGAATTAGGTATTTAATTTCATTAGTTTATAATTTAATCACTAATTTTTATAGTCCTCATTTTTTTACTATGAATTTTATATATGAATATAATTTAATTGCTTTAATTTCAATTATTTGTTGTTTAAAAACTTTCTCAAATTTGTTGTCAATTAGATATTCATGATTAATTTGCCTTTAATGTTTCATTCTCCTTAATTACTTGTAATCTTAATATTTATGTCTTTGACTTTATTTTTCTTTTCATTTATTTATAATTGGTATCTTAAATTTACTTTCCCTTCCATCGCTTTTAATTATAATAGACATTAATACTATTTGACTTTATTATATTACTATTTATTAAAATATAAATTTCATTTAGTATTTATTCTATTCATTTACAAAGATTGCTTATATATGGTATTTAATTAACGTTAAAGTGTGTTTATATTATATTTTTAATTTTATTTATTCATTATTTATTTGTAATATTATTTTATTATTACTTTTAATACTTTAATTATTATTTAATTATTGTTTTTAGTCTTATATATATATATATGTATATATATTTGTTTAAATAATAATAATTTATTTTTAATATCAAAGAAAAGGGCAATCTTAAAGCAACTAGATGTCCTGTTCTGGTATTTTAAATAAATAAATATCTTACTTATCAAGACCAAAAAACACATATTGTTTTATTTTATAAAGGAAAATTATTATTTTTAATATTTATTTAAATATTAAAAAATGGCAGTCTTAAAGCAACTGGATGTCCATTTTTTGATATTTCTAAATAAATATTTTACTTTTATCAATTATATATATGTTAATCTATTTTTAAGTTTTTATTATTTTTAGATAAATATTTTATTAATATTTATTTATTTTAATATTAAGAAAAGAGCTGTCTTAAAGCACCTAGAAGCCATTTTCTGATATTTCTAAGTAAACGAATATCTTATTTAAAAATATAGATAATAATAAATTTGAAATCACAAAATTATGAATTAAATCTTTGAATTTTTAAATTTCCAATAATAGAGACAATTTATAATTAATGAGTGCCAATTTTGGGCATTGTGGGGGGTGCTAATCCTTCCCCAAATGTAACCGACCACAAATCCCTTGTTATTAATAAAAAGAATGAATTTTTGGTTATAAACGCATATCAGTTTATCTTTTAACTGATGTTTTCTTGAAAACTCTTTTAAAAGATGATTTTTTAGGTATTCGACCTACCTAACCCCAAAAGGCCGATGGCGACTCCTAAATTTTTTAATAAACCATTTATTTTCACGCCAAGTAAATAATTTCGTGCCCGGGCAAAAACCGGTTACGACAGCTTGGCGACTCCACTGGGGTCTGGTCAAACTTTAAAACCAATTATTAATTGTCTCTATTAATTAGAAAATTAAAAATTCATATATTTAATTTATAATTCTTTCTTTTCAAAATTTTTATATATACTTTTTATTTTCATAATATTTATATGTACATTATTTTTTTTTATATATTTTTATTTTTATTTTCAAGTATTAAATTTCATTATTTATTTGTTTGTCAAAGGTTTGAACATTTCTCCTCACACACATCACTTGCATTGCATAACATAAGCTTTATAATCAAGCTTGTCCCTTTTAAGTGGGAGTGAAAGCGACGTCTTCGTGAGAATTTATTCTACGTGTCAGACCTAGCAAGTAGCTTTCGGGATTCATATGCTCTATGTCTTCGTGAGAATTTATTCTCCGCGTCAGGCATAGAGAAGTGTATCCCCTCGAATTGAACTCGATCCGCTTTAGTCTGTGATGGACTAGGATTAAGGGTTAGCAGCCCAAGGGGGCACTAACAAAGACAATTCAGGTACATTTACTCTTAGAACTAAAACTCTGCATATAGTAAACCCTAGAAACTCTTCCGAACTGAAGCCATGACGAAATGTTGTCCAAAATAGGTGTACACAAAGGAGAAATGAACTCTAGCTTTTAATTTAGTTCATTATTTCCTGAATAAATGACTGTGAACTAGAAATCATGCGGTTAGGTTAATTTTTCCAAACAAAGCATGGAACTAGAAAGCATGAGGTTAGGATTTATACTTTGATAGATAGGATTTTTTTCTTTCCATTAATTGGTACTAACCAATTTATTTTTCCTTTCTCATTTTTATTTTTCATACATTTTATTTTGCTCTAACTTGTTTATATTGATTTCTTTTGTTTGCATTGCATGATCATGGCATAATCAAAAGGTGTTAACTTGAAAGACTGTTCATTAAATTGGAAAGAAATTGTAAATGGACAAAAAGTTTCATGATCAAACAAAATATGATGCGGCCAAGGAAAGACATCCTGAGGAAACTCCGAGGATGGAAGCGAGCAATGCACATAGAGATCCTGTTATATTAATACCAAAAGTACTCCACAAAGATCATGCCAGATTGATACCAAAAGCATTCTATGGTAAGAGTATCAGTCAGGGCATTCAGAGTAGAGGAGGTTTTTATGAAGCTCAAGCATGTTATTTGAAGGACTTGAATGACCAAAACAAGAAATTGAGCACAGAAGTGGAAACCATGCTTGAAGATTTCCAAAAGATCAGTCAAGTTTTTCAAAATACTGGCATAGGAAACACCCCAGGAGAGTGGATAACAGGGGTCACCAAGCTGAAAAAGAACTGCAACATATACGAAGATCTTGTCCAAGAACTTCTTGAACACAAAGGTTCTCTTACCAGGGAAAATAAGCAACTCCAAGAACTGATACAGAAGATGAAAGAGAATGTCATGGAAGAAGCTACAGTCCAGACAAGCAATATGACCCATAAGCTGATAGACCAACCTGACTTTATGAGGAATTGAAGCAGACTGATAATTCAACTGTTGAGCATGAATGGAAACTAACTTGGCTTTAGAGAAGTTAGGAGGGAAAGTTATCCCCTATATGTAAAGTTTTGTTGAAGTTATGACTGAAAGTTTTCCCCTGCATGTAAAAGTTTTGCTTGATGCATGGAAACTTTTGTATTCAATGAAATCTGTTCTAAGATGATCACTCTTGAGTAACACCTTTTCATACATGCATTTGCATTTTGCATCTGTATATTTTTATGTTTGTATTTACATTTACATTTTTAAACTTACATCATGCATTAAAACATATTTAATTAAATAATAATGTTTATTTATTTTCAATATCAAAGAAAATGGCAGTCTTAATATAACTGGATGTCCTATTCTGGTATTTTAAATAATTTACATTTACATTTTTACATTTGCATTTAGCATCTTTGCATTTTTCTGTCATAATACATTAAAACATTCATTCATTAAAATAAAGATTTCAACCGAAGTGATCTTGGTTTTTCCTTGTAGCAAGAACGTTTAGCACGACACAAGAAAAATGTCTAAAGAAACTGATGATAGGCTATCCAAATTAGAGATAGAGAAAAAAGAGATACATGAAGAATTGAGGAGCAAGTTGGCACAAATCGAAGCTAATTCTCATATCGATCTACTGAACAATATGAAAGAAATGATTGAGAAGCATTTGACTGCTGGGAAGAGTCTTGTTGAAAACTCCACAAATCCTCTGGTATTACACTTGTTCACATTCTTGAGCACACCTCTGTACGTCAGGAAATCCAATCACCAGTTCACTTCACTGTTAAGAACCAACAATATCAGGCTGGAGTTTCGTTCCCCACTGACTGTCTTACTGCTTCTGGATTAAAGCCAAATGAATTTTGTACTACTTCTAGAGAGACGGTTGAGTCATTTTATGAGTTTGACGCCAAAGAACTAAACTTGGTCCCCGACTTAGTTCTCCCACCAAATTTTAAAATTCCAGATTTTGAGAAGTATAATGGGGCCACATGCCCTGAATATCATATCACTATGTACTGTCGTCGTATGACTGGCTATGTAGAGAATGAAAAATTGTTGATCCACTGTTTCCAAGACAGTTTATCTCGGTCTGCATCCAAATGGTATAATCAGCTAAAACGTACTCAAATATTTTCTTGGAGAGACTTAGCTCAAGCCTTTTTGGGTTAATACAAGCACATGGCTGATATGGTCCTGATCGAACAATGTTGCAAAACATGAATATGAAGTGCAATGAAAGTTTTCGACAGTATTCACAACGATGGAGTGGCGTCGCTTTTCAAGTGCATCCACCATTGACTGAAAGGGAGTTCACTATTTTGTTCATCAGTATATTAAAATTTCCCTATATTAATCACATGATAGGGGCTGCCACTAATAATTTCTTTGACATCGTCATGATTGGAGAAATTATCAAAATAACTATCAAGAATGGCAAGATAAGCGGATCTGACGATACTGAGGTCGAGAAAGAAGTCGATGTTAATATAATGAGGTCTTATTCAGTTAAACATAGTGCCAAACCTTATAAAGTGGTCAAGAAGAAAACGAATGTGCAGGGTTTTCAATTTCCTCCCTTCCATTGTTCGAGTGAAAAACTGCATTCAAAAATGCTCTCAGCCAGATTAACTACTCCACGACTTGTTCCACCACAATGGCCTCCAAATAAGAATTAGACCTATAAGGAGGTTCCTTGGATAAATCAGACTGGAATTCCAAATTGTTCAGCTAAGGTTCCTGGTAACCTTGAGGGAAATTTCCAAGATCCTTTAGAGCAAGCAATTCAAAAATATAAGGTAAAAGAAGGGGTTAAGGTTCAATGTTCAGAAATCGTTGCTTCAATAGAGACTAATGTGACCAAATCCTGCGAAGAATATCGGGCGCAAGAAAATCAAAAGACTCCCATGGAAATAATTTGAGATTGGCCCATAGGTCTAAGAAAGAATGGAGCAGATATAACCCAGAAGACACATCAGATACCTATATCATATTTTCCGAAAACCAGTAAAGTAAGGGGCAACTTAAGGAGTCTGGTTAATACTACCCCAGTTATAGCTGAAATGAGCTTCCAGAAACCCCTCGATCACAGGAGAGCATTTATTCGTTCAGAACGATCAAAGAAAGTGATAATCTCTCGAGCGAGAAAAAACTCTGAAGGTGTTTCAAGAATCTATCTCAGATCTGTACCCTCATTTGGTTAAAGGTCAATACATTACACCAAGATTGGTGAAAATATCACCAAATCCTTATGCCCATTGCTATGATCAAAATAGCTTCTGTAATTTTCACTTGGGAGTATCTGGGCATTCAACAGGGAATTGCTAGCCATTGTTAAAAGAAATAGAGATGCTCGTTGACAAGGGAGTCTTGACACAATAAATAATCAAGAAATGGGGGACAAATAAGGATGAGAATCCTAGGCCAAGTACACGCCCAACATTCAAGGAGTAATGATGCATAATAAATAAACAAGTGGAAGTTGTTATCTACTATTGTAGTACTTTTCTATTTTCAGCATCCTGTTTAAACTTGTTTTTTGTTCCTTTCTCTGCCTTTTGTGCAACAAATAAATTTGTGGTTCTTATTAAGGTTATGAGCATTGAGTCAATTTTGCAATCTTGCAGTTCTTTGAATATCAAATGAATTAAAAAGCTCTTCAAGATTAGAGTTATAATCATTGACAAAATATCAGGATTAAAAACCAGAAAAACAAGGACCATTGACCTTACCTCAGAAGAAATACACCCAAACACTATCCTATTACAAATATGAGATAGCCTACTCCTATTGAAAGAAATTACAAAAAGGCTTGGTATTTATATATATAGGAGCGTACAACATGGGGCATCGTTGATGTATTACATTACAAAACCGATTAGAATATTTTTCTATTGATGACATTCGATGATGAACATAATTTTTACAAATAGGTAAATCTAGTTTAAGTCAGTTGATTGAAAATTGAACTCTAACAAAGAGATTTTTTGAATTCCACCAAAACACCTAGACTATAACAGGTTCTTCTTAACAAGCTTAAGAAATTGGATTTGGATACCCATGTTATATTATTATATACAATAAAGCTTAAGTTGTCCCCCTAAAGCAATTGGTTAATAGCCCCGGCTTTATGGATAATATTCAGCTAGTTTATTATGCTTGAGTTATCCCTCTAGAGCAATTGGTTAATAGCCCCGGCTTTATGGATAATATTAAGCTAACCTATTATATGCAATAAAATTGTCCCTCTAGAGCAATTGATTAATCGCCCCGGCTTTATGGATAAGTTTCAATTAACCTGATAAAGGTTATTATATTATTATATACAATAAAGCTGAATTCAGCTAGCCAAAATGGCAAATATGTTAACAAATGGACTAAGGGAGTTACGAAACACCTGTTATAGTCAACTTCACACAAGAACTCATAAATTTCATTTTTAGACCGATATTTTCTCACTACTTTGATTAGATGAGTCTAAATGAAAGATTCCAGAGAATTGAAATGGAAAGACTCTAGAAGGTCTAGTAATTGGCAATCCTAGTTGCGTCATTTTGTATGTATCCAGTTAAAATACCAAGTCCCCAAAGTGAGGCATGTGACAAAGTTCTCAAAGAGCGATAGATGAGTGACATCTTAAATAGATGTAACCATAGAAAATAGGAAAGCCATCCTGAAACCAAACCAAATCTTGATACTTGTCAAAAAACTATAATTCTCAAACATTAAAGAATTGTTGATTCTTTTGATATTCTTTGAATTCATGCTTATGATTTGATTTTATTGTGAACCTGTGATAGGCAACATTTTACAAAATTCTTTCATTCTTCGATAAAGAAAGAAGGAAAAATATTTTCAAACAGGACAGTCTCAAATAAGGAAGGTCCTTGAAGCAAGTTGTTGTTTATTTTACCTCTATTGTAGAAGTCAATGTAGCAGTCATTGCAAGAAAATGCACCAACAGAAATCCTCTAGTTCACCCCGATGATGTTTATTTCTTCCAGTAAGGTTGTTACAATGGATGCCACCGACAACCAGGTCGAATCCGCCAAATCTACTCATCAATTTCTCTAACCGATCACCATTTAATTCTTGCGCATATGTTTTTAAAGGTATGCCAAGACAGGTAGAAGGCAACCTCTACACCACTGATCCAAGAGAAAAGAGACAGGACATTGATACCACCATGGAGCATGTCTCTATACAGATCCTCATGTATGGTTTTTAGGAAATCTAGAAGCATTTCCTCCTCATCAGGTTCAAATGGGCAACTTTATTTCTCCCAACCCATACCAAATTCCATATTCTCCTCATCAAGAACATACTTCTGGACATTCAAAGGAAGGTTACCAGTTTGTTGTCAATGGAAAAGCATCATGTATGGTGCATGGAGGAAGAAGAATAAGAGGAAATCTATTCTTAATTGGCAGATTATGAATGTAGCCCTTTTCCGTGTAGCAGTACAAAAATACTTTGAATCTACAAAGTCTGACTCTACATCGTATAAGTACCGTGACATTTTCGTCCAAACACTAACTAGAGCAAGCGCCACATTCTCATAATAGAAATAATGAGGCCCAATAGCATCTTCTGGGAGTGTTCTTTGAGTTATCTGATATGGTATGGTAGGAACCCTAAAACCAATCATTGGATTTGGAAAATGAAATGCATGGTCATCTTTATTAAGAAACTTCTTTTACAAGCTTCCTCTGCTTCTTCCTTTTCCAAAAAATCATAGCCCGAGTTTCGCATTTTCTTGTAATTGGGGTCATTATATAAAGGCTTCCTACCTTCTACTGGAAGAAATGCGTCAGCAACTTTAGCCATTTGAGCAAGACATATAAAATCTGCAAACTCTGCAATTGATGAATCCAGACCACATCTCTTCATGACTATTGAGGCCTCAGCCTCTGAGTATCCCATTTTTGTCAAGTATAACAATTTATTCTCCTCATCAGAATCAGAATTCAGGATTTCCTCGGTATCAGAAGAACTATAAATATCTATGAAATCATCTTGAAAGATTGCTTCATAATCAGATGAGTAGTTATCAGAATTAACATGTTGTATGGGTGCAGACTTTTCAAGAGCCTTCACTAAAAACAAGGTTCATCGTGTCAACCTGAAATGAATTACCAAGCGATTTACACCATTCTGTACAATTAGATCCCTCCAGATCCAAAGAATGGGCACCTCATTCAGAAGAGGCACATATCTTAATGATTGATTACTTCTTAAGTTTGTGACAACATAAAGAGAATTCCTCAAATTACTTGATAACAATGATGTTTTGTAATACCAGAATGAGAGCATTCAAGATTAACAGATTTCGGCCACGGATAGAGCCACGAGTACCCGTAATGGGGCATTAGCAAAATTGGACCTCGTGAGGATCATGATATTGAAATCAAACAAACATTGAGAGTAGACCTTACAGTTTAGAAGGTCAGGGGCATTGTGAAGGCCGAATTCAGACAGATCCATACGGGACATCTTGAAAGCCTATTTCAATCAGAAATAGAATGGTGTGGCATTTTGAAGGCTCATAGTAATATGATTATTTGGGCATTCTTGGAGGCTCATCTCAGCAAGAAGTAAGGTTGAGCTCACTTTTAACATCTGTATCAGCAAATGTTGGGGCACTTTAAAGGTTACTTCAGAAAGATACATGTGGGGCATTTTGAAAGCTCACGTCAACAATCAGCAAATGCTGGGGCATGCTGAAATTCCCTTTCAATCAGAATGAAGAATTTGGACGCATTTTGAACGTTTGTATCAGCAAATATTGGGGCATACTGAAGACCCACATCATTATGTGTTAAAGATCATTGCTTTAAGCAAAAAATTCCAATGAGATAGAAAGATATGAAGAATGAAAATGGTGAAACAGTGACAGTCGAGCTGACTATACATAATTGCTTCGTTCATTAGGCAGTTACATTATGATCATGTTGTTGAACAAATATCTACTCAGCAAGTATGGTTTCAAATACCCAATCTTCTTAAACCATGTGTCACATGACAGCGTGTTCTTTGTTAAGCCACATCACGGTTGCATGGATAAAGATGGTCCCCAGGCAGAATACTCGATCCAGGGTTCAGTTCCTCAAAATCTCGGCTTTGAATTTTATATTATTATATGTGTTGATGATGATTGAAAATATTTCTTTGAGATTCTTGGCAATTAGTTTCAATCGTGCTGTTGAAACTACAAAATCGTTTTTCACATCAGTTTTGCCTACTTGAGGACATTGAAGAGGGAGGCTTGACTTATGTATATTACCCTTATTCCCATTGTTACTGTGGTTTTCATTGCCAGCCAGGGTGAACTGAGTTTTCATCTATTTTGGTTTTATCATGTGCGTTTCATCCCCAGCGGAAAGAATTCCATGGATATCGTTCTATACATGGCTCCTATAGCCGATGTGTTTCTGCGTCCTACAACACTCATTATGGAAGAAAACGTGATCGATATCACACTTTCCCTTTCTTAAAGATGATATCAAGATCAGTTAATGTCTCTTATTCAATTCGAAACTAGCATATTTTGTGAATTTGACCAAGTTTTGGTCATGAGACACGCCAACATCTCACTTGTATTCCTACTAATCTTTGTTCTCAAGTGGTCTTGTGACATCATACAAAAGTTCTGAACAACTATGAAAGAGTTTCCCTGACCAAACATCTGAGAAGAAACCACATGAGATGATGAATGTGTTGTCAAATATTTTACGAGCATTGGAGCAGAAGCCACAAGAAATAATGAATGTGTTGTCAAAATGTTTCACGAACTAGTTATTCTAGTGTTGAACCAATGTTGCAATCATATGGTATTTCCATTTGTAGATCCAAGATGAATTCTTTCTTCTTCAACACCAAGCTTTGAAGTGAGATATAATGAATATTTCTTTTCACAGAAGGGAAGCGGAAATTTTAACAATAAGAAACTAGTAGAGCCAAATGAGGTTGAACGATAGGTTGTTGTTAAGCATCTCGACATGATATGGTCTGAGTTTCCTTGTTCGAGATCCAATTAGATGTGGAGACATGAAATGAATTAGGATAAATCTTCCTTATGATCTGTTTCGAGAGTCAAATCAGAACAGACTCTACTCTCCTAATTAAT